TATAGGTAATTAAATTAATACAGAAGTTGAATTCATATACAATGGATATGTGTGGATATTTCTGTGGATTTATTTCACACATTCCACACTTGCAAGTCCAAACTTGCAAATAAAGCAATAACATTTCGGATTATTGTTTCATGTTATTTCAGATCCCCCAAAAGTACACCTTGAAAGTCTTAACTTCCCAGAAAACACTGTGACGGTAGTAGCCGGAAACAAGCTCCGCCTGGAGGTGCCCATATCTGGAGAGCCCACTCCCAGAGTTGTGTGGATGAAAGGAGAAAGGGTGAGTGCATTGGACACCTACTGTAGTTCAACTTCTTTGGTTTGTTAAACTAAGCCACACAAGGGAGAGTCTGCACCCACTGCTTGTCTAACGTGCATTCTTCAGTCTTCCTCTGTCCAGAGGAGGATAGGAACATCTGGTCAATCAGCTGCTATCCCTCTAATCAGATATGAGGTATTTATCATCAGGGAGTGTGGTCTGGGTTCATGCCTATGCCTTAAGTCTGAAGTGTTAATCCTGAGCACCTGTAAAAGTAGCCAGTGGGGAAAAAAAAACGAATAGCTGATCTGATACAATTTACATTGCGTGATATGGGTGTTTTCCTTCAGGAATGTTGAGGAATGGCAGTCCTGAACCATCAACAAGGGACAGCGGCATTAAAGAAGGAGTTTCTCTAAACTCTCAGCAGGGCAGCAGTTTGTCAGCCTGTGGAGTGGTTGCAGACTTGACAGACTGTGGGTTCCTTTCTGCAGAGACAACAAGAATGAGATCGAGGAGCATTACTGTTTTTTATTCTATTATTATCCACCAGTGTAGGAGGGGTAATGCAGGATGAGATACATCTGTATTTTCAGGTCATCCTTGAAACTGGCGCCCGGGTGCGAGCAGAGTCTTTCCAAGACCACAGCACCTTCACCATCGACATCGCAGAAAGGGAGGACACTGGGAACTATAAAATTATGCTACAGAACGAGGCTGGAGAGGATTCTGCCCAGATCAAAATAAAAGTGGTTGGTAAGCATAGAAAAACATTGCTTCCCATCATATGAGCAAAGAGTTGCATTGAAATACCGGCGTGGACTAGTGGATAAGAACTCTGGAATCCTTAACCTGGCCATGGGGTCGTGGGGTCAGAAGCCAAGTGGGGTCCGGCTGTTGTAACCTTGAGTTTCACTCAGACTGTTCCAATAAATGTTTGGTTGTATAAAAGGGGAATTCTCCACATTGTCATTGTGAATGTCATTAATTATAAGTTATTGTTATCTTGTTAGCTAAAGTGTATCCATTCCCCAGATAAACAGCACCAAGCGCTGACGTGTGACTCTTTCTTCCCCAGATGTCCCTGATGCCCCACCAGCCCCCATGGTCCCTGAAGTGGGAGGGGACTGGTGCTCAATGGTGTGGGATCCCCCTCCCTATGATGGTGGCTCCCCAATCCTGGGTGTGCAATAGTTCTTCTTTCTCTGCACGGTCACATCATCCACCCCAAGGGGGTGGTCACTGTGTGTAGGAAAAGCAAAAGTCTTTGAAAATATTGCACCATCTACTGATTTTTATCATCTGCTACATATGTGCTCAGGCAAAATTTACATTTCTTTTCCCAAGAACTTAGAGAGAAATGAAACACCTCTCTTATTACTCAAAATCGAATCCAATTAACTTTTTTAGCGTAACCTATGAGCTACAATGTTGCTAAAGCAAAAACTATCTGAAAGCCGTATATACAGTAACAACATACGCATTATAATTTGAATGACTCCTCAGGCTGTAACAGACAGGAAAACAAATACTGTGCTGCAGCTCTGTTGAGTTTCTTCCCCCAGTAGGATCGGAGGCTGTTCTGATTCTGACGGGTGTCAGTGTCTGTGGCTCCTGCTTTCTGTGGACAGAAAGTGGTCACTGAGCCAGTGCTTTGTCAGGGTTTCTTTCAAATCATTATCCTGATAGTCTCCCTAAACCCCAGCTTAGCTAGACCATCGTTTTTTGGTCATCCATGTATGCACACAGCTGTTTATCCTGCAGCCCCTGTCAAATCTTTAAACAGCTGTATAACGGTACCTGCTCCTGAGTGTAATAGGGGCTCATGGGTAAATCCACAAGATGTGAATCTCATTAAGTATTAAAGGCATAAACTGTTAAACACTGATGGAGATTATTTTTCCTCTGGGCACTACAGGATATTTTGTTGAGAGGAAGAAAAAGCAAAGCTCCAGGTGGATGAGGCTGAATTTCGATCTGTGTAAGGAGTCAAACTTTGAACCCAAGAAGATGATCGAAGGTGTTCCCTATGAGGTCCGTGTTTTTGCAGTGAATGCCATAGGCGTCTCCAAACCCAGTGAGCCGTCTAAAGCATTCATACCCCTTGGTAAGTCCCCTCGTGTTGCAACGTTTCAAAATGTCTCGCTGTTTAATTGTTGAACCAACCCTGCTGGTGGCCGATGGAGTCACAGACACCACTGTGACCATGAAGCATCGTCCCTCAGACATCTGGTATACATGAGCCCACAAGCACAAATGCTTTTTGTGCTGTTGTATTATGACACTTATATAGTTTTATGTATGTTTTGTGTTATGACACATACATAATGGCCATGTTTCAACAAAATAAAAATAAGCCTGTAATGCATTTTGTGAGGTCCATATTATAGGCCACCAAGGCCCTTATTTTCATGTAGTCTTGGCTGTCATTTGCTATCAAATCCAATAAAATAATACTTTTCAAGCATGGCAGTGATTTACAGGCATCTACAGACCCTCCAGGGAACTGGCTGTGACCCCAGGATTGGAGCAGTGTGAGGGAGGGAGACCGGTTCTGAAATACGCTGCTCATATATAGAAACACATGTGTGTTGTTACCATCATGAGCGAAAAGCAGACTGTGATGATCCCTCTGGAGGGTTTATGGGAAACGTCACTATTCACAGATCGGGGTGGTGGTGCATTTCACGTTTGTTTACAGATACTGAAGATGTTAAACATTTTATTCATCTGTGCACAGTAATACTATAGTAAGACAGCCTCTTCAAAATTTCCATCCTCCATCCATGCTGCTAATATTCACTATTGCACAGGGGTGGTTGGCCCTGGTATAGTACTTCCATACACCTTGTTGCAAGTCTTTATCCCTGCTGATCCGTGATCATCATCAGAGTGAGCTCCAGAACCAGGGTTAAAAAAGCAGTTAAGCATCAAACAGAGGCCCTGAGGCTGACTTTATTCACAGCCTTGTGTCTTCCACAATTGAAGCAGCTTTCTTTTGATCTCTCTGTGCTCTGTGTGTCATTTTGTGTCATCAGCTGTAACCAGTGAACCAACCCTGCTGGTGGTCGACGGAGTCACAGACACCACTGTGACCATGAAGTGGCGTCCCCCAGACATGATTGGAGCTGCAGGCCTGGATGGATATGTGATAGAATACTGCTTTGAAGGACGTAAGACAGCTTGGAAAGACATGTTTTTAATTATTCGTTTCCTGAAACACCTGATCCTAAATCCCATCAATAGTTTATGATGCACATACATGTTTTTTTTTTTTCATTTTACACTGTGAGGAGATGAGTTTGTTGATTGTTTGGTTAGTGCTGTTCGAGGGAACAACAAAATGCTGAGCTTCAAGTCTTGAGAATTCATTGAAAATGCCTGCCAGGTCAATGTCAGATATATGAATTGATTGAGAATCTGTGTCATCTGGAGTTCAAAAAGACGAGACATGATTTAGTGATTGAGAACAGTGAAAGATACGACTTCATACTACAGAGTGTTGAAGATTGACGGAATGATCAGGGCACGGGTGAATGATTTAGCTCAAGAAGGACACGTACTCACACACAGCTGCGCTTTCTGGTTGGCGAAACAGCAAGTAAGACCTCTCTGTCTTCTCCCTCCTAGAGGATGAATGGATAGTGGCCACTCCTGAGCTGGTTGAGAAGACAAGGTTCACAATTACTGGGCTGCCCACCGAGGAGAAGATCTTTGTGAGGGTCAAGGCCATTAATGCTGCAGGGGCCAGCGAACCCAGACTGCATCCCCACCCCATTCTCGTGAAAGAAGTCATTGGTGAGTTTACACACGTGACCCTTGAGCTCAGGCCTCTGTGAGCCCTGCACGTCTAACTCCCTGGAGCGTGCCATGTCGCCCTTGTGCTGTTGACGCTGGTCTCTTGCCGTCAGCACCTTTCAATTAACTTTTATTTAAATAATGCCCTGCCGGACAATGGTAAGATTCACACTGGGAAAGATCTCCATCTTGCGTAGCATTACCCAGGGACATGTGACAAGTCTGTTTCAGCAGCGCTAGAGGCTTTATTCATATCTTGTTTAACAAACAAAGGTTTCTCACAATAAAGCCTTGGCAGTAGTTCCAAAAGTAACAATAGTAACCGTTCTGCTCTACTCAACACAGATTGAAACATACGTAATACCGTCTTTTTATCTTAAATGTATTTAACACTGGGACATTTTTGAGGTACAAAAACAATGAATGTTTTGTAAATGAATATCTGGTCAGTTGCAAAGCAATGGAAATGAACCTTTTTCGGGAGTTTCAAAGTTATTCAAAGAACAGTGCAGACCGCGCCCAGTGAATTGCACACACTGTGAAGTTCTGCACTAACGCACAGGCCCTGGAGTGTGCTGGGACCCTGAACACTCACTCTACCTTTTTCCTTCCAGAACACCCCAAGATTCGTGTTCCCAGGCATCTTAAGCAAACATATATTAGGAAAGTTGGAGAAGTTGTCAATCTTGTTATACCCTTCCAGGTAATAATAATCATTATCATCTTTTGTGTTTTATGGGTGTGTCACCTTTCATGATACACAGTCCTGAGGTGTTTCCAACTAAAACAAACACTTTTGACAGCTGGAGTCTGGAGGGTTTTCAAGACTAATACAGTAGCTTACAGTGGTTGAGTGGGTTTACTGGGTCTCCCGGTGTTTGTCATAGTGGGAACTGAAAGGCCAGCGTCTGGAGAGTGTAAATGGCATGTAGGGTTACCAGTTCACTGTTCAAGCCCTTAAAGGTGAGCAGCAGTAGAATGACTATCATTCTGAAATCAACAGCGAGCCAGGGCTCCTGTTCAACTATCGAAGAAAGCATACAATAATTATACTGTTGGGTGTTATTTGAAGGTCCTTAATATTTGATAGTGAGCTGAAGCTGATGGATCGTGAAAAAAAAAGCTGCTCTTTTGTTTCCGAGTGTAAATGAAATGTGCAGGAGTAGAAGCCAGTTTTAGCCTCTTCTCCAGAAGACTTAATATACCAGATACCCGCTGTGCTCCCCAGGGCAGACCAAGGCCTAAAGTGAGCTGGATGAAGGACAAAGCTCCTGTTGATCCGACTCAGGTCAGCATCCGCAACAGTGAGACGGACAGCATCATCTTCATCCGCAAAGCCACCAGGAAGCACTCCGGGCATTACAAAATGAGCGTCCAAGTGGAGAACTATGTGGACGAAGCCACCATAGATATACAGATTGTTGGTGAGTCAATGAGAATGTTAATGTCCACACCAGTGAAATGACACAAACAAAATGAAGGAATAAAAAAGAGCTCATGTTGCCCCAACACTGGCAGAGGAACAGAATGATTAAGACCCCCATCATTTATGTTCTTTTGTGCAGTCCTTGTGGAAAGGCTGTGTCAAATCTTTTCATCCAATCCCACTCCTTTTTCTATTTTCTGCCTCTGTCCAGTGGGGGTTGAGTCTAGGGTGAGGGTTAGAGTTAGTGTGGCAAATGAAGAATGGCCATAATAGGTCCACAGGTCCTCATCCTGCCCGGTTTGTAATAAGAAAACAATCTGGCAATTCCAAATTTAGAAGACAAAGGGAAAAAAATCTCATCAGCTTCATTATCAATGTTAATGTGACTGACCAAGATAATACTGTAGATGCTGAAATATATAATCATTCCAAACATTCTATGATATTTAATCTGCAGTACGCACAGTCCATTCTTATATACTCAAAACTACAGAGAAAAACACAGGTGACTTTCACTATTAGAAAATGCACTGGTGTTCACTTCATTTTTCCATTGTTTCGTGTTTGAAATCTTATTTAAAGGCTTTTGGTGCAGGCACACAGCACTGTGTGGTATGGAGAAACTTTCTGTGCAAATTCCCTTCAGTTCCGTCATTTTTGTCCCACACAGACCGGCCTGGCCCTCCCCAGCATGTGAAGATTGTGGATGTCTGGGGAGAGAATGTGGAGTTAGAGTGGACTCCCCCTAAAGACAGCGGCAATGCACCCATAACTGGCTACACTATTCAGAAAGCAGACAAGAAGACAATGGTATGTGCTGTGCTGCACACAGAACATAATTCTTTCTGACTGTAAGAGTGTCCACTAACTTGACAACATTGACAACTGATCAGGAATTAACATCACAGTAAAGAGAAATTATTAATGAGGCTCCATATATCAGCTAGTGACTAAGTGGAACAATTACTGTTTACAGCTGTATTTTATTCTGTAGGAATAATTTGCAACATTAGAAATAACCACGCCCTGTTCAGTGTCTTGCTTGGACATCTTCTCATAGACAACAGTAAAAATGTGGGCACTAGTGATCTTTCATCGTGGCCCTTTGTTATAACTATGTGGACCAGCAGTTTCCACTGAGCAGCTGTGTGTGCTTGAGCAAGATCCTTTTGCTCAGATTGCTCCCCATGAGTCAGGTTGCTTTGGACAGAGGCTTCTGCAGAGTAAATGAAGGAGGACTGAGATAATTTAATAAGCTCTCTTGGCCTTCTGCAGAAGGTGCCCCTACTTGGGATCCTCCTGGACACTTTCCTTTACCTCCTGGACCTCTCAATTACCCATCGATAATCCTTTAGTTATAAGGACAGGGCTGACTGATGCAGTGACTGGTCTGCTTGTACTGAAAATACGGCGCTTTTTCAGTAAAGAACGTTCTGTTTTGCAGGAATGGTTCACAACACTGGAGCATTATCACAGAACCACCATAGCGATCTCTGACCTTGTTGTTGGAAATGAATACTATTTCCGTATCTACTCGGAAAACATGTGTGGGCTCAGCGAATGTGCTACAATGACAAAAGACTGTGCCCTTATTGTGAAGGAAGGTTAGTTGTTACTGCTACATATTCCAGGGGTGATCAAGCTCAGTGTTTTGAGGCACATCTTTTGTTAAAGTAGTGCTAAGAGGTGGGAGAACTGTAAGGGAGTAACACAACAGAATACACAATCACACTGGAGATAAAAACAAGTTTCCTTTAATGTCAAAGTCCCTTAACAATTATTGTGGTGGGTCCTCAGAAACTCTTGAAGGAAAAAAAGAAAAAAACATATTTTTAAACCATGCGACCCAAAGGTAACGTTTGCTTTTAATGATCTTATCTTGGGTTCCTAGATTGTTTTCAAATACCCCAGAGGAACGTAATGCTTAGTTTTAATGCAGATGTTAATTAAAAGAGATGCCAGAATGATCAATTTCACCCCACAAACCCCAGTGTGATTAACTGAACAGTCGATCACTCTGCCGAACAGTGCCCTTGCTCTCTCTGTGTCCCAGAGAATGGTCCTTGTATTGACAACAGGGCTCAGTTTAGCATATCAGTGCTATTATTTATTCCTGACTTTCATAACGCCAGCTGAGAATCCAGGTCAACTGATACTCACCCATGTTTCCACTCTTGTCATTAGTAACTGCAGCTGTTTTAAGATGCATTCACTCTGAAGGTGAGTGGCAGGTGAGGCAATCACTGCTTATTCACAGCTACCCTGCACCTAAGAAATACAGAATAGATTAAAAAACACCTGTTGCAAAAAGCTATTAACCTGGAAATCTAAAGATCATGAGGGTAGCGCTTATTCAGGAAAGCGGGCAGCGGAGAAGGAACAGGGCCCAGGGAGCAAGTCTCTGTGGGTCCTGTCAGTTGTACATGCTGTACAGAGAATGAACCAGAACAACAAACTAATGAAACCAAAAGTGAAGTGGCTTCAATGTAGTCATCCCACCCAGTGACACATAGCTTTGGCGTCCCTTTTCTCTCAAGCTGTCTGCCGCCTCAGCAGCCTCTCTGGTGATCCACCCACTGCAGGGGCAGCACAGAAGAACAGAGTGCCACAGCTGCAGCAGCTGGGTGTGATGATAATCCCTGTCGGTCTGTCACCTGCACCTCTTTCTGGGACCTGCACAGCCAGGGCACTGCAGCGCTGAGCTTTGGGCCAGACTGTGGCGATGAGCTTTTTTTCCAACAAATACAAAACTCCTTTGTAGGATCATTTTTAGTTCACTCAAATTCCAGTTGCTTCTAGGATTTATTTTTGAACTTCCTGCAAGAGATCAAAAGGAAAACAAACCTGACAAAAACTCTCTCACTTTTCTTTGAAAGGTTTGAATTACAAGAATCCAGATTACAAGGATTTTGACTTCTCAGAGCCCCCAAAATTCACACACCCCCTGGTGAACACCACGGCAGTTGCTGGCTTCAACGCTACACTGAACTGCAGTGTCCGAGCTAACCCCAGGGTATGTACGTCCCACGGTCCAGTCACTTCAAAGAAAACTGTAACAAAATTTAACATGTATGTCATTATGCTTTTAACAGCAGGTCACTGATAGTTCTGGCAGCAGGAACTGTTAACTGTTGATGTTAGAAGACCTCTAAAACCATTTCACATATGTTGTATATAGTCTTTCAACTTAACAGATGATGTAGAGTATGTGTACCTGAAGATCAGGAGGGATGATAGCAATCAAACCACTTTTGTCCCAGCTGTTCTAAATCCTAATCATTCCCAGCATCATACTGCATCCCTCCTTCATCCCATCTCCACCTTGTAGCTGCATGAGGGTCCTGGGCTCCTTCTCTTGTGGCCAAGGGGCCTGGCCTTTAGTCAAGTGGCTTACGCCAAACCTCACTATAGAACACTAACACTGAATAAACATCCTCAAACACATGTAATTCTTGAGTGCCATTATTCTCCGTGAAGTTGTAAAAGGATTGGACAACAAATTTTGCTGTAGTCAAAGAACAGTGAAAGCACACAGTAGTTTTGAAAAGCAGCCCTCAAGCTGGAAAAAAATGATTGTGCCCAGGACAGTACCCTGGGGAACACCGCAGAAAACTTCACTGTTTCTTTCTTCCTGTTGTAGCCAAAGGTGATGTGGTATAAGAACAAAATTGCCATCATTGATGATCCACGGTACCGGATGTTTAGCAACCAGGGCGTGTGCACCCTGGAGATCCGGAAACCCAGTCCGTATGATGGTGGCACCTACACCTGCAAAGCTGTCAATGACCTGGGTGAGGCTGTGGTAGACTGCAAGCTGGAGGTGAAAGGTGAGACTTGGAGTCACCTGCCTGTCTAGAGGAATCTTTTCCAGACTCACCCAGACATAGTCTCCATCACTAAAATGTATGGAGTATATCATTTGAAATGAAAATAAAAAATAAAATAAAGCCCATATATGAATATCTTAAAGCACAGATAGATCTAACATACTGTACCTTCTTACCTGTTGAGGAATGTAATCAACGATTCTGGTGGGCACTAGAAGTTAACATGCAGTACAAGCGTCCTGCCTGCTGTACTCATGTAAAAACAGTTGAAGTGGTTTCCACTTGCATGTCACATGATACAGTGTCAACTGCTGTTTTTTCACTCTTTTTCATGAATCTCTGATTCACTACTTTTTATCTTTTACCCTCTCTCTTTTTGAACTTTTTAAAATGTTTTTTTTTTTTCCTTTTTCTTTAACCTGACAGACTTCTTGTGGTGCAACAAGGTTTTGATTACACATTTTGTTTTATATTTGCATCACAACCAGGTGCAATTTTGTATTTTTTGTGTTTGATGCTTTTTTGTCCAGGTGTTTTTGAAACAGTTCTGTGATGATTTCTCAATATGCTTAACTTTTGGTGATTTTCTATTTTTGTCATTTTTTTGGACATTGTTCATATAAACGACCTGCTTGTGCATGCAAGTCCATAATGCTATTGACATTTTAGTTGTATACTTCATCTTTGCTTTCAACTTTTAATCACTAGATTCCTCTACCTTTTCACTGCACACAGTTTGGGTCTGGAAAGGCAGTTTAGTTTTCCTGAAACACAATTTAAATATCACTTTTGAGACAAATTTAGATGTTTTAACCTCATGCTCTTTTTTCATTTCTGAAGAGTAACATAATTTACCCTATCAGTGATGAAGGCAATTTTTACAACTGTTCAATTGCATTCAAAAAATGCAGAAAACTATGAACAGAAAATTGGCCTTTGACCTAGATTCTTCCTATACAACATGACTGCATATAAAACCTCAGGCCATGGCAGGGAATTTCAGTCGACTTTGGACACAATGGTGGCATTATGAAAATAAAATCACATCAGTTTGAACTCCACCTTATTGTCTTCTGCAGTGCATCAATTTGTTTGTAAAAAGAAGTATAATTTTCCATGACTTACATTTCACCTAAAATGATCCTCGGTTGTATTTCTGTACAAGCATGAAGTGATCCTTAGTTCTATTTCTGAAAAGTGCTGAGGTTTGTTTTATAAAGCATGGATAAACAAGATGCAGCACATTGATGTTTCATCTTGAATAGACTTGGAGGATAGCTACTGACCCAAGAGTATTCTAGACCTCAAAATGCAGCTTGGCATCCTAATTTTCAAAAACTGTACCTCAACTGTTCAGGCCAAAGAAGCAGAAAAGTTTATTGTATGTGATACTGCACTTTATCAGCTCGTTTTGTGAGTTGTTTGGAGGCACTGTAAAATCATTTAAAATCAATCTCCAACAAATCACAACAGCCCAAACCTTTGTTCTATCAGAAATTTAAATTAAATTAAAAACGAATTTAAAAATTAATAGGAATGGGTCAAAGGCATTACAATTGCATTTCTTTAAGGAAGAAACTGTTTCTTTTCATAACACAGAACTAGTTTAAGCCCAATAAATGATCTTTACTCAACAGTCATGTTGCAATATATGAGAGCAACCCTTCGCTCCTTCACTGTCGAATCCATTCCAGCTAAGTTAAAATGATTTAAATGTGTTTTCTTCTCTCCTCTAGTTGCGTAAGGATTTGTGAGTGTATGTGTTCATCCAAGGTAAGCTTTCATATGGTCAGTGCATATGAAGCTTATGTCTGTCATTGTATACCTTCCTACAGCAAGTAATACAGTAGGAGCGAAAACTCCCATTAGTGCCTTGTACTTACTCCTCGTGTAACCTGTACCTTATAAAAACCTTGCATTATCTTACACCTCTGGAGTAACTGCCTCTCTTGTTCATGTAACATGCCACAAAACGGGTGAGTAACTAATTCATGAGCACAGCCCCCCACCCCCCCGAATTCACACTTTGTCACAACCACCCTCTGTATGAAACGGTTTGATCCACTAATTCCTTTAATATTTAGCATGTTGTTAATTAAACTATATCTTCCAATGAAGTCTTTTCAAAGTGCATTAACCACTGATATCCCTGCAAGCAGCGTAACAATTACAGAAGCAGAAAGGTCCATACCTCTATCTGCAAGAACTTACTACCACTACTAAACTGAATCAATGTCCAATAAACATGTCTCACTGAAAAGTCTTGTTTCGCATTAAGGGTGCCAACACTTTGGTCCGTGGCTGTACTGCTGTATTGATATTTGGTTATTTACTGTATATTACTAGTTTAATGGAGGGGTCCCCAGTCCTGGTTTTGGGAGGTGAGTGGGTCTGCAGGTGTCTTTAAAGCAGCAGCACCTAAAGAGCTTGGAGAAGCTGTTATACTGGTCCAGTTAATAATAATGAGACAATCCAGGTCATTCAGAGCCAGGACGAACTTAAAACACTGCAGACACACTGGCCTTCCAGGGAGAGGACTGGCGATCCCAGGTTTAAATGTTTTGTGGAAATGCAGATTGCTTCCACCCTATAGGCAACCCGAATTCAAGTAATTGCAGCATCAATACATTTTAACAGATAAGTGTTCTGAAGAAAACGGCCTTTTGATGGTACCCTCAGGATCCTGAGAAAAACAGTGCTGATTCCAGCTTGCTGAAGATTTTGTGGTTGCATTGCTGTTTTGCTGATTGCTTGGGAATTTCAGTAATCATCTGTGAATCTGCAGATGCCTTACTTGCTGTAGAGCCCTACACGATCACCTTAAATTCTTAAAGTTCTAAAGTTCCACATTTGTATCACTTACAATTCTCATATTTATCCGATCACTGGTTGCATCAGTATCGGCACACCTGTGGTTTGGTGTTTTGACATCTTATCCATTGCTGAGTTTACCCAAAGATAATCAGGAAGCACGTGGTGCCTTATGTGCTGAACACACCTCAGGTCATGTAACAGAAGACTAAATAATGACTGCCATATGAATGTACAACATCAACCCTATGACTGTCTTTGTTCAGCAACTTGTTCTAACATGAAATTTCATTTCTAAACTACTTTTATCACTACTGTTTTTCTCAAATAAAACGACTATAATGACAGATGTGGGGCTTTTGGACACATCGTTCTCAATCACGTTCCTGATGGATCAGCTGCTGAATACCTTCTAATAAATCCCGTCCGTTTCCGCAGTCGCCCTGCAGAAAGGGGATCGGGCTGCGTGCAGTGATTAGCACATGCCGGCCGCGGGGGTCCTTCAGAGAAGCGCTGTTGCTCAAACTCCGCTCTTGCTTCAGACAGGCTCTCTGGTTTGGAAAGCACGGCTCTGATTGCGCTGTTGGATCTTTATGTTTCTAGCCAGAAAGCACCCCCCCCCCGGTGTCACCCTGGGCGTCTGCAGCCCGCTGCTCTGGGGGTCCGAAAGGTGCCGGCGTGTCGCGGCTCTCGAAATCCCTGCAAGCTGACCGTCTTTTCTCTCTCATCAGGGGGGTTTACGTTTTATGAGCTTATGCAGCGGGGAGTGCCTTTACACCTTATCAAACAGCACATGAGCGAAACAAAGAGCGGCGAGCCCGAGAAGAAGTGACTGTCTGCTGGCCGCCTTCTCCACCTCCTCTCGGGGATGACCTGCCACTGCGCGCAACAGCCAACTGGATGATCGTCAAGATGAGAGTGTGGCATGCAATGTGTGCTGGCATGGATCTACTGTAGGTAGCGTAGGGCAGCCATGTGCTGTATCATCAGCTCTCGCGCCTCTTTGCCTGTTTGATGCTGGTATGTAAAGGCGATATTTAAACTCTGCAGCATGTCGCCTGGTGTTTTCGGCAAGTAGCTTTTAGAATAGGCCCATGTGGCAGCCGTGGGACAATGAAGTCCGCCGCAGCAGATGCTGATATACTGTAATGAGCTTTGCTTTATCACCGACTGGGATTCTCATATCGCTGGTGTAGCCCCACGTCTAGAAATGGAGGTGTCATTTGATTCTTTGTTGATAAACGTGCTGAAACTGTACAATATAAATAAAGTCCGCTCCTGCATGAAACGTCAGTTATTGTGTGGAGTACGTACTGTTTACTGTTGGGGAACTAAGCTGGAGGCGAGAGCACTCTGTATACTTGTAAAGCCCTAATAAACACAAGAGAAAAAAAAAACATCACAAAGATGATTGAAGGCAATTTAAACTGTGCTTAACCTGTGCAGAAGTCCACACAACTGAGATTAGCCTGCTGAACGGAGACTAACCTATTGACTGCTGCGGAGACTGACAGTGTTCCTCCAGGAGCCAGGCTGGGGTGTGACCCTTTGATTTTTAGCTTTTTTTGTTCAGATATATACAGTATATATACTGTATATATCTACGCATGCTGACGCAGCTACCCACCTGAACTACAGTATATATATATATGTGTGTATGTGTTTCCAGGTGTAATACAGCTTTGTGCATTATAATATATAGAAAGATATTCTAGCAGTGGCTTTTCATTTTAATAGTTGCAGCTGAGACACACAAACCTCTTCTGTAGCTGACCAGCACACCCTGAGCACTGACGAAGCCTTCTCTGTAATGAATTATTTTCATTTCAAAGTAATGATGTTACCCTTTAGAGTAACAAAAGGCCGAAGTAACCAACAGTGGGACTGCTGAATAAACATTATGAGCCTGATTAAGATATCTGTTGGTGTTCTTGAAAGGATTCTGTTATGTTGTTAAAGGCACATTAATAACGTGGGAGAGGATGAATGACTTGTCAAATATTTAACTTCAAATAAGTGGAAGCTATGTTACGATTGCTTCATAGATGCCTGTGCAGTTCAAAGCCGAAGACCTGAGATACTGTATGTTAAAGATGTTGTGGGCATGGGTTAAGTCTGAAATACATTGTTTATCCCAGAATATCAAGATATTGTTCATATTCTTTGAGGAATTTTCTGTGTTAATGGCTAATTTGTTTCCTTAGAATTTGTTTTCCATTCTTTTATCAGGTGATGCACCCATTCTTTATCTGGAATATTTCAAAAGCTTTTTGTGTATTCAGCATGACTCTCACCTCTTAATTGTTATACCTTGGTTAATATGTCTGGTTTTGTGATATTTGTTTTTGAATGATTAGGTTTTGCATTTCTAATCCAACAAGATAATGTACCAGAAAATGCAGCTATTCACTCTTTATTGTCCCCAACCTTTCCAGCAGAGGTTAACAGTATACAGTTAAGAATACTTTGACTTTGAAAGGGAAGCAACAAAAATATTTATTATATATATAATAATCCCTTCAAATAAAACTTGGTATCTCCGTACTCCCCCGATTTCCACTTAACATATATGATTTCAGAGCCGCTAGCCTGTCTATTACACTGATCAATAACCAATATTTACTCTGTCTGCATCATTGTGTTACTCAGTTTCACAGTTGATTTGTTGCAAGTGAGGAGATTTAGGTAGCGATTGGTACAATATGTGAACCAGAATAAGTTCTTGTCATAAGCACTTCTACTTCAGACCTTATAGAAACATATTTCCTGTCATTTTATGTACTGTATTTCTTAGTTAATTTTGAACTCTGAAGAAATACAGATCTTGTGCTTTTTAATGTTGTTTTTTGGGTGGCGAGGGAATTTTCTTCATTGTTTTGCTTTCTTTTTTGGTATTAGTGCTACTGGTTAAAGCCTAGAGAGCAATGTTAGCCCATCATTAATTGTAAAGCATGTCTTTTAAGGGAATTGATTTGTAATATACAGCATTATAAAGGTAATAAAATGTTGTTTTCAACTTATGTTTTATGCCAAGTTTGTATGGTTCAATGGTGTGCACAGAAAGTCGGAAAACCTTTCTAAAGCTTTAAAAATACCTTCAGAAAACCTGACTACAATTCAGGAGAAACAAAGGGTACTCCAACAAGTAATACATTTTTGTTAAATAAAGTGAAGACTTGGTAAAATGTTTGCTTGGTAACCCAGCAGCAGCCTGGCCACATGTATGAGGAAGTCTCACCCCTCTGGATAAAGAGCAGAAGGGTGTTGTACTGGTGGCAGAGTGGGATTGGTGAAGGGTACATGTATGAGGAAGTCTCACCCCTCTGGATAAAGAGCAGAAGGGTGTTGTATTGGTGGCAGTAGTGGGATCGGTGAAGGGTACATGTATGAGGAAGTCTCATCCCTCTGGATAAAGAGCAGAAGGGTGTTGTATTGGTGGCAGTAGTGGGATCGGTGAAGGGCCTCCAGGGCAGAGTCTCCATACTCACACCATTGTCAGGGCTCCTGTTACGAACGGGTTGTTATGAACCCTGTGCAGGTCTCTAAGAGAGCCCGATGGCTTACGACTCCGAGAAGAGTGAGGCAGCAGAGTGGCCAGTAGTTCCAGGCTAGAGGTCCGAGTCTGGGGAAAGAAGGCTGCAAGGCAAACAAATCTGAAGGAGGCGAGACAAGAGGGTAGTCGAAAGATCCGAGGCGAGATGGGTCTTCCTGTCGGTGGTCAGAGGTTTGAGGATGATGCAAGCTCAGGAGGCAATATAGATTCCTAATACTGAGCAAGGGCTAGGAGTGAAGGGAGGGTTTAAATAGTGAAGGAAGAGGAGATTGAATAATGAGGATCAATTGATCCCAGCTGTGCTCGTAACAGCTCCCCAGTCCTTGTCCTGCCAGATGGTCTGCAATCTTGAACTGGACAACCAAGGGGGCTTTGGAACACTTGCAATCACTTTCAATCACAATTAGGTTAATTATGAGATGCATACATTAAAAGGGGAGGCTTCACTTTGTTTTAGAGTAATAATAATCTAAATAATCAAGCAGCTCAAATGACTCTTATTAAGTCATTTAACGGTCCGATTGTGTTGCTGAGAGCTGCAGAGGAACAACAGGAAGCCTGTCTTGCACCAGAAACAGACATTCTGCCCTAGTGGCAGAGGATTGGCAGGAGCTGGGAAAGGTTCATCATTACCTCCACTATATAATTACTGTAAAAATGTGACCAACCTTTTGATCACTGTTGATTACTGCAGCTTCTGCTCTCCAGCTCATTTGTTTATTAAAACATAACATAGAACAGTAATATATCATTAAAAGCCCGAGGATCAGGCTGACATTTGTATTTTGTAAGCGCTTTATCACTTTTCAAAGTTAATAGGCTTATTCCTTTTAGGGAAACTACTGTAAAAAATAATGTTTAATAAAACACAATATAAAAATAACCAATAAAGGGATCTATGACCGATGAGTGTTCGCCCAATTCCACAACTAAATATGTCTGATTTGAACAATCACACCATTTCTCCATCAACAAAACTGGATACATAAGAACATTTGCTTTGCAAGAAAATAGCCCTTTTTACACTACTACAATCCATTTGTGCCTTGTTATGCTGGGGAGGCTGAAATTCAAAGACCTTGGACACATCCCCACTGAGTTATTTTCTATTAAGACTGAAAAGATTTCATTCTTAATTCTAATTCTAATGCTAATTCATGTTTCTGGATCTTCTCTCAGACATGTCTTTTGTGGATCAGAGGAAGCTGTTCATCTTAGTCATCAAGATATCAGAAATTTAGTACTCAAACAACCTTTATCAGGATCTATTCTGAATGACCTAGCGACTCTGCAATACTAATGTACTGTGTACAAAGTTATCAAAAACCTCATACAACCCGCAAACTGGTTAAGATGACAGGTTTCTCCAATCTACTGGACAGTGTGATGCATTTGGGGAATTGTTACAGGACATATATACAAACAATAAGCAGTTGCTGATTTCAGCTCCTGCAGTAATGACAATAATGCCCACTCCTTTTTCATTTTCATTTTTATATTCTCTCATTTTACTGCTATGGATGCTACTAAAGTCACTTAGTTGGCAGCTATAATGAGAGAATGTAAAATGACGCTACTAAAAGAACCCTACTCCTACACCCTCACTCAAATCTAGTTCTGCTCCTCTTCGTCCATTTTATTAACCCCTAATTGTCCATCAATTCCTCCTATCTGGGCTTCTCCCTGTAGTCCTAGTCTGCTACAGTCTCACCTGTATTAGAAAATCCAGCTCTGGAACATAAGGGATAGATGACTACAATCCTTTCTCCAATTTACCCCTTCTTACAGAAATTCTGCAATAGGTGGCTGAAACCCACCTGCAGTTTATTTAGCAACTAATGAGCCCTTTGAACCTTTATAATATGTACTGAAACAAACCTTATTGGTGTAGTTAATGACTTACTTATGGATTCTGACTCTGGACCAATGTGTAGCTTCTGATATTGCATTTTACTGGATGTTAGAGACCTGTTGTTAGATTAGCTCCTATTTGGCTAATATTTGCACATCTTGGCTGTTTTAAATCTCACAATGACTCAGTTACTCAGGCTGTTCCACAGAATTTAGTGCTCAGACCTTTAGTATTTAGCACATTAGCTATTTACCATTATTCTCATCTGATGACACACAAATTTTCTTGCAAACCTAATCAGATAATACTTTTCTTTCTGCTCTTTAAAGGTGTGTCTTATATGAAGACATGGATACAACCATTTATATAAGCTTAAGTGGCTTTGGTGTGATAAAACTCTAGTCTATGTTTATTTGCTCCTACAAACAGCTACACAAGGTATTTGACTCATGGCTGTGCTGAAACAAAACCTTTGGCTGAAGTTAGAAGTTATTTTTGTTTTTGTATTGTCATTTGATGCTCATGTCACTAATGTCATAAGGGTATATTTTTCCCCACTACTTAACTTTCCCAATTTAAGGTCCCTCATTTAGGCTGATACTGAAAAAAAGATACATGCCCTTAGTTCATCCCCGATGACTTTAATGCCTTATCTACTGGGGTGTTTACTAAGGGAATAAACAGGCTTTAGTATGTTCACAATTATCCAGCTTGCCTGGTAACTAAAACTGGATTGGCGCACTGTTAAATTTAGAGTGGTTTTAAGGTTCTTCTGTCTGCATAAGCAGGTTATTTGAACTCAAAATCTTTGAATTAGCTAAGACTGGGCTCCACTCCATGGGCAAAAAAGGACATACAATTTTTACTATAGCTTTTCATGGATGATTTTGTTTTGTACATGGTCTTACTGTATATGGCCTAAAATTACTGTGTGATTTGCTTTACTGCTGTTACATGTTTGATACACGTACAATTGTTCAGAGCTTTGAGTCTTTTAAAAAGGATTTATTAAGTACAATGCATAATAATAAATAGATAAGAATAATAAATACATAAGATTAATGTAATATAGATAGTTACATAATATAGTAATACCGTATAGTTAGGATACATATTAATAAAATGATGTCCCATAAATGATGGCTAAGACAAACAAGAAAAGTAAAGATAAATGACTTGATCTGAATGTGGACTGCGAGCAGGTGGGCAGCGAAGGTGCTGTCCAAGTGTTGGCAGGTGTGTGGTTCACCCACTGGGACAGAGGAAAGGAGAACAGCAGCTTCAGGGGGTTGTTTTCCCATGTGAGTTATAAAGCAGGGGGGCGAGGTAGGAGTGAGTAACCAGGTGAGCAAATTATTCTACACACCCACAAACCTCTGTGCAAGTTCCATCTCATTCTCAGCCTTGAACTCAGTGATACTCATCAGCCACTACACTATATAACAGAACTGTCATCACTTTGTGCCCTCAGGTTGTGCGATTTATTCTGAGTTTACAGTAAGTTCAGAGCTGAACATGTCAAACACTTTCTGAATCTGAACACCTCAGGCCCAGTCTCTCTATAGCTTCTTTCCAAAGCCCTCTGCACCAGCCCAAGATTTGCTCCACTTTCGTCCCCTTTAAAATGAAAAATCAATGCATTCAAGTCCGAAAACTATGGTTTATTTGACAAATAATTGACATACTTTTATTTTCCACCTATGTTGTGCCTCTAGAAAGAACGACATCGTCATATGTTTATAATTACTTCCGGCAAACTAAGATCAAAGTCGGCTCTGGGGGAAAAAAAAATGTAAAACCCTGTCAATTATTTTGAATGACAGTATTTGACTAAAATACTTGACTCAGGGGAATATTTTTGTCACAAGGTAACCATAACTAAAGGTGACACTCTATACTCTGATTTTAAAGTTATATTATAGGCTATACTCTCACTGGTAAAATCTCATTTAGGACACAGTAGAGAATTTTGATCACTATATTACAAACATGATGTTGCTGCTGTGGAAACAACTGATACAACCCCGAACTCATTTACTACTGCATACACTCGTCTACTCCAGTATACTACTGCATACACTCTTGTACTTCTGTATACATCTGCATAAATTTGAGTACTCCTCTATACTACTGCATACACTCGTGTACTCCAGTATACTACTGTATACACTCGTGTACTCCTCTATACTACTGCATACACTCATGTACTCTTGTATACTACTAAATACACTCATATACTCCTGTACACTACTGCATACACTTGTGTACTCCTGTATACTACTGCATACACTCATGTGTACTCCAGTATACTACTGCATACACTC